AAGGGTGTGGCGGGAAATTCCATACTCTCTTACATGAGAAGTGAGGAGAAAGGAGTGATACTAATAGTCATGCATACATTAACACTCAGCATTATGCGAAGAAGTGCGCTAAGTGCATGCAGAGGCCAGTAGCATTTGCAGTAGTGCCTGTGTGGATAAAAAATGGTGGGAAGATTATTCACACTTGCGCCTTTCTAGATAGTGGACCAGATACCTCCCTCGTAGTTGATGATCTAGCTGATAAGTCAGGCTTCTGGGGAAAACCAAAAATGGTATCTCTAAAGACTTTTAGTAATAATCGTCGTTGGTATCCAAAGAGGTCGGTGTAGCATTGCACTCGACAGATTTTCCGTCACCCGATAAGGTCCAGAAAGTGTTGACAGTCGAATTATACTGGCAGTTCACAGGACTGTACCAACGGCGCATCAAATGGCGTCCTGGTCCTATTTATAAGATATAGGTTTTCCGAGAGTAGATGAAAATGTCAAAATGTTGATTGGGTGTGACGCACCGGGCGTACACGAGATAAGAGAGATCAGAACCGGAAGGAAAAATGAAGGTTCCCTAGAGGCTTCAAGGATTCCCACCGAGAAAGGGACTCTGAAATGGGAGAAAAGACAGACAGACAGAGAAAAAGGCAGTAGTGTGGCAAGTGTATACATATAACCAAAGCACTACTTAACCTGTAATGTTATAAATGAATTTTCTACCCTAGCAGTTCGCTTCGTGTCCCATAGGTGCAGGTTGATACGCGCTGTCCCAGATCCGATACCAAAACACAATAATTCTAGGAAAAACGGTCATTATTTAATAAAAAATGGAAATACAGACAATTACCCAACAATATTACACCTTCTAAATCCAATTTACTATGGTGGGTATACCTTTATGGAAGAATAAGTGCTTCCAGTCCGTAGAGTCGATGTATCAAATCCAAATATAGCTGTAGCCATATTAAATATCAAATTTAAACAGCATGTGTACAATTCAGAAGCAAACATAAAAACTTCAATATAAGTACAAAATATAGGAATAATAACAATATACAATGATAAAATCTCAAAATGGAATCAAATAGAGTACCAAAATGTCAACAGAAAGAGTCAGTCATATCATAACACAAATATATATATACATGGAGGGATTTTCCAAAAAACAAAACATCCAAAAATGATTCTACAATGTTGAGGTAGTCAATACAGTGGTAAGTCAAGATTAAATTCATACTGACCACTAAAATTAAAGTAAATTATTATAAGAATATTAACCACAGATGAAGGAGTACAGCAAAGAAGAAGGAAGAGTTGTGGAGCGTCAAGTGGATAGAAGAGAAGTTGAAGTAAGAAGCTTGATTTATGTATGTTGAAATGGAAATTTCAGTTAAATGTGTAGAGTTTGTTAAAAGAAAACATTAATGATTAAAATTTCTCACTGTCTAACTGTACTTTTTATCATTATTATTGAATGCCAACCTCTAAGTCATACTATAAGCGCCTGAGTAAGAATGTTGCGGGTGTCTCGACGGAATTGCGACCTCAGCATAGTTTTGGAAACATGAACCTCAGAAGTAGAAAGCGTATAAGAGCAACTTCAGTGTTACTGATTAGTCGCCTCATCAATCTAAACAGCCAGAAACAAACTATCGCGCAGTACGCTCGTCCTTTTCTCAGCAAACCGACATTTTCCCTTCGTCATAAATGATGCAAGTTGGTAACAGCCAATCGAGCTTTTCTTATCTGTGGTGATATTTCGTCAGTCAAAAGGCACTGATGAGTCTCCCGAGATAAGTGAAGCGGTCAACACGCTCAACTACTTCACTCTCTATCACTAGTTCAAGTACCACACTTCTGCCTTTTTCTCGCTCTTTTCTCCTTTTCAGAACACCATTCACGGTGGGAAATCCTTGGCGACTCTAGGGAACATGCACCCTATGCACATGACTGTCTGGATCACAGCTCGAATCAAGCGCGTTCCATTTAACCTTCCCCAAGAAATTCACTATTGATCACGGCAAATCGCCAATAGAACCTATTGTGCACCTTCCTTATTTGTACTCTACTATTGAAAATGTGGCTGTATTGTGATGTGTCTGTCAGTGACATAGTGTAAATAGGCTATCAGAAACTGACTCTTATACTTCATTTAACTGCTATAACTTTTACAGTAACTGTGAAAGTATTTGTGACAATTTGGCGTAGCCTGTAAACTGGCGTGACTCTTGTAACGTTATTTGAGAATAAATATTATATTATTATTATTACCGATGCGACCCAATCTTGAAGCAACATTTTCCGTTTTGAGTGGAAAATCGCATCCCGAACATGCTTGCATTCTGGTTTGGGGCTGTTAGAAGACTCTTCATTTTTTCAGCGTCTTCACCGAACAGAACTATGTCATCGTCATATTCTAGGTCAATAAGCGAGCCTCCTGGTAGGTCTACTCCTGAAAATTCAGACGAGGGTAAGGTGATTTCTAAGAGCATGTCTATGACAAAACTGAACACGAATGGAGAGTGGACATCCTTGACGGGCACCATTTGAATTGAAGAATTCCGGTGACAGTTCGCCATTAGCTCTCACTCGACCAGTGGTGCTTGAGTAGAGAGCTTGTATAAAGTAATGTACTTCTTTGGTACACCTTTCAATGACAGACACTGCCACAGAACCTCACGATCAACAGAGTCAAATGCCGATTTTAGGTCCAGCAAGACAACTATTGTCGGTTGTCTAAATGTGTGTCTGTGTTCCAGGACCTGTCGTAGTGTGAAGATGTGGTCTATACAGCCACGTCCAGGTCTGAAACCAACCCGGTTTTCACTAGTGTGCGCTTCACGGGCTCTAGTTACACGTCTAAGTATAATCGAGGCTAATAATTTACAAACTACATTGGACTGATTCCCCAATGATTGTGACAAGAAGACTTTTGTCCTTTCTTATAAATTGGGACAATCATGGATTGAGACTAGTCAGTTGGGATTATGCACAGTTCCCACGTTCTGACTAAGATCTTAGTCAATCTAGCTGCTTAAACTTGACCATCATACTTAAAAATCTCAAACGTAAATCTATCAGGTCCTGCTGATTTCCTTCGCTTCAAGTTTCCTGTAGTTTTGTCAACTTCATAAGGAGTGGACGGACTTACTGTAGGATTCATAGTGGATTCTGATTTCGGAGAAACAGTTCTAGAAGATAACATACGCGCCTCGCTCAGTTGATCCAAATAGAAAGCAATTTATATGGGTAAGAAACGGTTCTATTATTAAATAAATAATATAGATAATTACCTGAACAATATTACACTGTTTTCCGTCCAAAATAACACAACGTGTTTCCATTTCTGGAAGAATGCTTCTGTTACAATCCAAATTGCACCCTTCCAGTCCAGATGCACTTTCTACCCGCCAAGGTATCCAATCCGATATGGCTGTGGCCATAATTAAGTATAAACTTAAATAACATCATACAGTTCAGTAGGAAACATAGAAACTTCAATTAGAGTACAAAAAATAGAAATTATAACAAAATACAAATATTAACATACGAAAATGAGATTAAACAAACCACCAAAATGTAGCACAGAAAGAGTCACTAAGAACATATTACAAATAAAACAAAGCCTTCAAAATGGATTCTACACCGGCCCACAAAATCCCTCCATACAAAGCAAAGCCCTTTAGATGCCTTAGATCAGGGTTCACTCTCATAACATAATCCACACCAGAAGAACGAGAGAACTCAGAGCAGTACGCCTACTCGCCCTCCAACAATGTTTGACCTATCAAGGTCACTATGTACCTATACTTTTCCGTCAGGTTCTTGATCCCTCTACCTATCGTAGCATGACCTAAAGGTCATATAAACGTCATGCAGTTAAACCACATAAACTTGGATGACACGTGATAGGGCTGGTCATATCCTATTCGGGATTTACTCTCCACATTAGAAGGGGGGTGAATCGTCAATCCACCACCAGTTACTCCAAACGGCAGCTTTCTTCTAACCTATTCCTACACTACAAAACAAAGCTCATCGAGGCAGTCGGTGGTTGGCATACGCAACACATGTCCAAACCACCTCACCTGATGAAGTTTCATTACTTCATCTATTCGTTTGCCATTCTTACCTAGCACCCGGTTCCTAATAACAGCGTTGCTCACTCAGTTGTCCCACGATATATGAGCAATGCTTCGAAGACACCTATGATCGAAAACCAGTAACCGGTAACAGTATTACTGAGGTCAATATATTCGATACTATACTAGTTATGCTTATTCCTCTGTGATTGTCACAAGAGGACTTTCATTCTTTCTTGTAGACTGGGACAAATCGTGATTGAGACCAGTCGGATAGGATTACGTCCAGTTCCCATATTCGACCTAAGATCTCAGTCAATCTAGAATAGGCGGTTATCTGAACATACTTACAACAGACGGTCGCCGTTGTCTGTTTTCTGAGCCGCAACACCATAACATCCACCTAGGTGTCTTTCATTTTCACTCAGTCTACCTACTTGAGCGATCAAGTCATCAGCCAATCTTACAATATCAGAACGCCTAACCTTTCGGACGTCCGAAAGCTTCTGTAAAACTCATCTTTCACCTCGTCTGAACTGCAGTCAGTGGGGGCGTAGATGCTGGTTGTCCGAGGGAGACACCACTCTGCAGTCAGCAGTACGAATTCGCCCTCAAACCTCTAGTTGCTGCTTTTAGTCTGATCGTTCTCCAATCGACCTGCCTGGTATGGTAGGACCTTCAGAAACATATGTTGCAGCCAATATAGCTCGGTTGTGTCATCACGATAGTCAGTCCGGACCACCATGATAAGGTATCAGCTATGGTTGGGATTGAAGATTAGCAAAACCTGTAAAACACTTTGTTTAATGTCAATGTGTCAACCATAATGAAACATGATTTTATGATGTTAGTAATATTGTGTTCTACAACAGATGACTAATTATTTTCCTTTGCTGTGCACTTTTTTTCATATGAAAACTTTTGTATACAACAGGTTTTTATGCTGCTATGCCAAGAGATTTTTTATTAATTGTTGGTGATGAAATGATTGAAGGAACAATGGCTTGGAGATCAAGATATTTTGAATATGTAGCATTTAGACCATTGACTTTAAATTATTGGAGACAAGGTGCTAAATGGACAATTGGACCGAAACCAACAAATTTTTCCAAATTAATACAAGTAAGTTGTTAATTAATACCTCGTCTAAAGTTATGATTTCAAAAAATTAAACACTATATTCAGTTAAGAAATTAATTTTTTCCTTTTTCGATTAAATGTTTTGTTGGAACTGGACTGTTTTACTTACATTTGGTAAAGTGGATGAATTAGTTAGTTGTCATTTCTTTGAACTTCCATTGGTGGTTAAAACTATTTAGGAAAGGTATACAAAGTAAGATGTGATATATTTTTCGTACAAAGCAATAAATCTTGCTCCTAATCTTGATAAAATCCATTTATTTTTGGAGGCACATTTTTGGAGGTTAGTGTTTTGACACTTTTGAAATCATCAATCAATCATTGTTAGACCAACATTAGAAACCTGGAAGCACTGAAAGACGGCCGTTTCGTCTTGGTATAGGACTCATCAGCAGGACTCATCTACGACTCCTGCACCTCGCACGATTCGAACCCAGACCTTCGGCATTGTGCGCGAACGCCTAACCTCTCAACCACTAGGCCGGCATCCAACGGTGTTGATATCTAACTCTGATTGATCTAGGGATTTTGCACGACCTCACCAATTTGTCTATGGTAGTTAGGGCCTACACTCGACAGGGTTGAACTCTATTGGTCACGTCTTCTCAACTAGAACTCCTAGAATTTTCTCACGAAGCTAGTCACCAGTGAGCAAAGTTATGATATTGTGGGGCAGAGTTTTGGAGGTTTGTGTTTTTACACATTTGAAATCATCAATCAATCATTGGAGTTCAGTCCTGTCGTGTGTAGGCAGTAACTACCAAAGACAAATTGGTGAGGTCGCGCAAAATCCGTAGATCAATCAGAGTTAGACATTAACACCGTTGAATGCCGGCCCAGTAGTCCGATGGTTAGGCGTTTGCGCACACAATCCATTTTCCATGAAAAAATTGCTCATTCAAATGAAACTGATCAATGAAAAATCAACCGATTTCCGCACGAATTGTTCATAGATAAGAAACTGTTGGCTGTGATGTTTTTGTTGACTGAATTAAAGTAGGTGGTGGAAAGCATTGTATCTAACTTTTAGGCTAGTTATCATATACTTTTAAGATGTCTATCTAATCTTACAGGAAGTAGAGGTGTCTGTTAAATTCAAGTTCACATCCCTGGCGATCAACTTTAAACACACTAACACTGAACTATACGGTTGTGACTAATTTCCGATGGGATTGAGATATTTCCACTGCACGATAACTGAGTAGTATTCACTATCGTGTTTGCCTATTTTATAGTTTTATTCAAATTCATTTCGTGTGACCTATATATTTTAGTGGTAGGTAGTTTTAGGTAATTGGTAAGCAGTCAAAGACTCATGTTAGGCACCAGTAGGAACTCTTCGTCGAGATAGTTCTGTGCTACAATATTGTGTTGTTGAACTGAATTCATTTAAATGAGTAGCTATGCTAGAAACTTGATTGTAGTCTGATCGATCACCACGAGGACAAACGTTATTTTAATTCACTAGATTGGTTAAATATGTCATTATGTTTTCTGTATCTGTATTCATTGAACAAGAAGTTCCACAGAAATGTGGAGGTCTTTCTCAAAGAGATTTGGATGAAACTGACGTGTGAAGTATCAAAATTAATTAATCCTTATCACGGGGAGTTGTCTGGTCATAATTTATTTTAATTGTCTTTTGTATAACCTGTGCTAAGATTCAATAAAACTATGCTTCAACGTTTTAACAGAAACTCATATGAACTAAATGATACATCATGTTTTGATTTCCTCAATAGATTTAGACAATATTTTCTAAATATAGTGAAATCACTGGGTGTTTCTTTGCTTTCTTACTGAATACATACAAACTATTTGGAGATTAGGGCTATTCGATAAGAACCTGCCTACCTAGATCCCATTGTGATTTGGTCATTGTCAACAGGTTAATATAATCTTGAGGAATTTCACACTATCCAGAGTTTTCGATCTCATGTTACCTAGCTTCACAATATTCCATAGGATACAAGTGTTTATTAACAGTTGTTTACGCAAAATACTTCGGATTCGTTGGCCAGACACTATCAGCAAGAACTTACTGTGGGAGAAAACATACCAGATTCCAGTGGAGGAGGAAATCAGGAAGAAGCGGTGGAAGTGGATAGGACACACACTACGAAAAGCACCTGACTTCGTCACAAGACAAGCCCTCACATGGAACCGTCAAGGTCAAGGGAAAAGGGGAAGGCCAAGGAACATATTTCGCCGAGAAATAGAGAAAGATATGAGAGGAATGAACAAACATTGGACAGAACTGGAGAGGGAAGCCGAGGACAGAGTTGGTTGGAGAAAACTGGTAGGTGGCCTATGCTCCATTGAGGGTAACAGGCGTAGGTTAGTAAGTAAGTAAGCTTCACAATATTGGGTGTTATCGCCAACTTATATGAACCGTGATAGGCCCACCGATTTATTAGTCACTGAGTCGTGACCGATGTCATATTTATCCAATCAATTTAACGCTGATCAATTTGTGCTGATCAACTTACTAGATTCAAGGTTTCTTATCAATCAACTTTAACCCCTCACCACATTATGTAGCGATTTTGAGTCACTTAAACTAGTAGCTTCATTGTTACTTCATCAACTGAATTCAGTCAGTACTAATAGAATTAAACAATTATGAAACTAGTCACTGTATAGTAATTAATTAATTTTAAATACGTTTAGTCTACAGAATTCACTATAGACAAGGAAGTAATTTGTTCATCATAGAACAAAAACTTATTTTGGAAGATGAAATTTTAATCCAATTTCAATGAAAACTTTAGTATATTTCAATAAGTCATATGAATAATCATTCGATAAAGAGTTACCAAAAAAATTCTAGAAAATAAAGTACAAACTATTTAGCAAAATCAACCTATCAAAATAAATATTTTCTTCCATATACATTTTTATCGATTACGAGTATATCGAAATAGGACAAAACACTTATTCAGTACTAACTACTTGTTTTAATCGATTCTTTAACTAATCTCAAACAGTTATAATAATTAATATTTATTCAGATTAAATAAACAACTCTTCAAAATCATTTAAACTAATCATATTATTTTTGGAGATCTTTTACAATCTATGTTAACATTCCTTTTTGTGTTGTCACAAATTCTAATCTTTTGAATTCCTAATCATCTCTATCTTTCTGATTCTTAATTTATCTCACTGAATCATTCTTCGGACCCTAATCTTTTTTCCATTACTGCTAATACTTCTACTATCTCTACCACTGTTGGATTTGTACTGACAAATGCGTCTCTGTGCTAATGCAGTATGGCAACCTGAACACTGATGTACACATGTACGAAGTTCTGCGTTGTATCTTTCTGTCTGTTAGCATATACTTTTATTCATGTATCTGCAAACACGTTTCATTGAAATGATGTCAAGAAAAGAAAAAAGACAATTAAAATTGTTTTTTTGTCGTTGGTTTATTTCAATAAAGAAACAAAGTGAAATGTTTATTTCAAATGTCAATAAAAAAAAGCAAATGACACCTGTTTTCATTTTCAATTCAAGGCCATATCCATTCATAACAAATTTAATTTGGTAATTAAATATAAATAATGATAACAATATCTATTTTATCATTTCAAACAAATGTAATAAATGAACAAAATGTGATAAATACACTTTTGTAATTAAATTAATTTTAATCTCTAATTGCAAAATTACATTTTTATTACTCTTTTCCCATGATAAATTATTACATTTAACAATAATAATAGTTATTAATTTAATTTCTAAAACAAAATTGACTAATATATTTTAATATTTCTAGTTGATTGGTTAAGAGAATAAGGTATTTGTTAAATAGTTTCTGCAAGGTTGGATATTCTGTTTGTTTGTGTCACTCATGTGTATGTATTTATTAGAGATATTTTTTAAACTATACATTTACTGTAATATGCTTACATGTTGATTTTTATTTTGCCTCAAGGCTAGAGAGATGATGGTTGAAATGAACTTGTTTGTTTTTTTTTCCATAAAAAAGAAAGAAACGTAACTAAGTGCTATGGCTGTGAAAAGGCAGAAAATCCAAAACAGATCACTAATTTGCTTCAAGTACTGAAGTACACTTACTTACTTACACCTGTTACCCCCAGTGGAGCATAGGCCACCTGACAGTTTTCGCCAACCAACTCTGTCCTGGGCTTCCATCTCCAGTTCTGTCCAATGTTTGTTCATTCCTCTCATATCTTTCTCTATTTCTCGGCGTAGTGTGTTTCTTGGCCTTCCTCTTTTCCTTTTGCCTTGAGGGTTCCATGTGAGGGCTTGTCTTGTGCCGCAGTTAGGTGCTTTTCGTAGTATGTGTCCTATCCACTTCCACCCCTTCTTCCTAATTTCCTCCTCCACTGGAATCTGGTTTGTTCTCTCCCACAGTTCGTTGTTGTCTGGCTAACGAATCTGAAGTATTTTGCCGGGCTTGGGACCGGCAGTAGCCCCGAAGGTTCTACTGGCGGAGTTATTGAAGTATACACCATGGAATAAAATATCAGTTTTCTACATAGTAATGACTTTAACAACAACTGAAAATAGTTCACAAAATTAAATCTAAATAATGAAATATGCGGAAGTCAATTTAAACATTCATAGATTCAAAGTTTATCAATATCTTTCATTATTAATACCAACTAATGATATAATGATATAACTATGGATATCAAGTTGACAAAACATTAAAACATTTCATTGATAATCCAACATCGATTATTCCAGTCACAATATTTTCTTCATTAATATTTTTGTAGATTGAGCCTAAGAATGTAGGTGTCGATGATGAACACAATCCAGGTTATGGAAAAGTGACAACAGAAAGTGAACCATGTTTTGATGCTGCAGACTTTATACGTGCTGGACGAGATATTTTTGCACAAAGAAGTCAAGTAAGTGTTGTTTTTCTTTCGTTAAGTTTAATTTTCCCATAAAGGATAGATGTAAATAGTGAACCTTCATATCATATATTGTGATGTTCCAGTACTTCCGACATGGTGTTTTACAATCTGCCATTTACAACGGAAACCCACTGTGTAACTGAATATTTAATTGAATAATAATTCAGTAAAACAAAGTTCTTTTTGATGGTATTGTTTATTAAAGCTGTACAGTCATGTGTTATAGTGACATAATGAATATGAGTCCATGGAAGAATAGAAGATTTTATCATAATTACTCAGAGATATCTAGTATCAAAGGATAGTTGCATAATAATCTTGAAGTTATAGGAAATTGGCAAGATGAATATCTTTTGGAGGTGAGAAACAATCGACATAATTACCTACTAGGCAGATATGAATAAGGAATGAAAAATATAATGATAGTAATAACAATTAAATATTATTTTTAGAAAATTCTAGCAATTATTGAATCAAAAGGAAAAAATATATGAAAAAACATAAAACATGGTGGGAAGGGAATAAAAATCACAGAAAGATGCGATATTGTGTGTGTTGGTTATGTATGTAGAATTCAATGTTGAACTGGTGAATTACAAATAGCCTAAACAATCTATAGATTTCTGATTCTACCTCCCTTTGATTCCATCGCTTGAGCGTGTGAACTATTAAAAGATGGTCCTGGTAATGATGATCAATATACCTAGCGTTTATGGAATCTTCATTGTATTGAGCTATGAATTATTTTGCATGCCTACAGATTTCCTACCTCTTAGATATTTTCATCTTCCAGCTTTCATTTAACTTCAAGATCATTATGCAACCATCTTTTGTCACTTGATATTTCCAATTTCTATGAAGACATCTCCTTGTCTTCTATTTTCAATTAGAGTTATGGAGATAGTGTTTTGACACATTTGAAATCATCAATCAGTCATTGTTAAACCACCATTAGAAACCTGGAAGAAGCACCGGACGGCCGTTTCGTCTTGGCATAGGACTCATCAGCAGTGCCCATCCACGAGTCCTGCAACTGGCAGGATTCGAAATCGGGAGCTTCGGTATTGTGAGCGAACACCTAACCATCGGACCATTGGACCGGCATCCAAAGGTGTTAATGTCTAACTCTGATTGATCTACGGATTTTGCGCGACCATTTGTCTTCGGTAGTTACTGCCTACAACCAATCAGGGTGCTCACTGCTGATGAATCCCATACCAGGACGAAACAGCCGTCCAGTGCTTCCAGGTTTCTGATGGTTGATTGATGATTTCAGAAGTTGAAAATATCGTAAAATGTGCTTACTAGTAACTAGCTTCGTGAGGAAATTCTCGGAGTTCTAGTGAGAAGACGTGACCATTGGAGTTCAACCCTGTTGGTTGTAGGCAGTAACTACCGAAGACAAATGGTCGCGCAAAATCCGTAGATCAATCAGAGTTAGACATTAACACCTTTGGATGCCGGCCCAATGGTCCAGAGGTAAGGCGTTCGCTCACTATACCGAAGGTCCCGGGTTCTCTTCTATTGTTAACTCATATATTCATTAAATTACTATAAGTATGATTATACAGCCTTAGTAAATGAAATAGTCTTGAAGAAGAGTTTTTGTTGAATGAACTTTATTCTGCATTTAAACAAAACTGACAATCACTCAATAATCAAAGCAAGAATGAAATAGCTATTTATGATTTGCTTAAAAAAATTTCAAGTAATGCATCTTCATTCATTTCTCAAGTAGAATAATAAGAAAAAAACCCACCAAATAACTGTCCAATTTCTGAACAAATGTAAAGAATAAAATGTTATTAACATTTAAAACGATGTTTATGTTTTTAAAATGTGAAATGAATTATGATAAGGAAAGTTAAAAGGTTTATTTTCTTTCCTAAACAAACAATAAAGTTTTTGTCAAGATAACCTTAAGTATATCATAATATTCTTAACAAAAATCTTCACAACATTATTCGATAGTCTATGTAAATAAATGTTAAAGAAATTTCTTACATTTTTTAAGTGATTAAATCAAATATAAACATCTTACAATTATTTTATATAGAATCTAACAGTGAAATTCAACCGAGGTGTACATAACGATCGTCAAGTGAATACATCATCTACTTTCCTAGCATTGTTAATAATGCAAAGTACAAAAGCAGACAGGCAGACAGATACAACGCAGAACTTTGTACCTAAGTACATCAGTTCAGGTTGCCATGCCCCATCAGCACAGAGATGCAACTGTCAGTTCAAATCCAACAATGATAGCAATAATAGAAGTATTAGTAGTAATGGAGAAGATTAGGGAGCGAAGATATGATTCGAGAAGTATAATTCAGTAGATAAATTTAGAAGGACAAAGGTAGCGATTATGAGGAATGCAGAAGCTTAAAATTTCATAGCACACAAAGAGTGGATGCACATTCAGGAACATATGTTCCAGCCAGTATAGCTTGGCTTGGTTATCACGATAGTCAAGCCCGACCACCACGTCAAGGTAGCAGCTACGGTCGTGCAAAGTACAAAGTCTTACAATTATCAATAGTTCTATCGCCGTTGTCAACGTTGTGAACGCTCACTTAACAACAATTATCAATAGTTTATGGTTTTGTTCAGTGTAGATTAGTCTGACTAAAGTTATTACATCTCAAAAAATAAAGGATAATAAATTAAGTTCAGTCGGTTAACTTTTAAAAAATAAGTTAGGAATGTACAGAAATAGCAATTAGATTACATATAGCAATTTTCATAGGAAACCAATTTCCCATGTTTTTTGTCATGACCTTTAACCTTTCATATATTCACTCAGTTGGTTTATGAGTTTAGGGAGTGTATTCATTACAAGTGATTTTACATTGACCAGATGAATAACTTTCTCTACAATCAATAACATTATAGACCTCCTATCAATGATTAGAACCCTCTAATACCTATCAATCATAGCTAGTAACGAGATATCGATATCTTCTTGACTAAAAAATTCAATACTTCATTTACATGGTGATGACGCTCTATAAATAAGAAATTAACAAATGTACATAATTGAATTATAACTGAATAATAAGTTTGTGATAAATTAAAGTTAATTTAAATAAAACAATGTAATAGTTCATAACAATAGTTAGTAAATGAACTAAAAGCTTAAAATGAGAATAACACGAGAATATCTTAAGAACTAAGAATTCAATAATTAAATAATCAAAATATTCATCATAACTTTCAGTAAAGTAGTTCAAAAAGTTCCATCTTTTATAATTATTTCCTTCAGTCTAGTTGTTTTATTTCGATGCACAACTAAGTGTTGTGAATCCTGACTATAATACCAAGTGTACATAATTCAGTTAGGTATATAAACAGAACTAAACTTGAGTAATATTATTGTGTTTTAAAATATTTTCTCTTTGAATACTTTGATACGTTTAATTACAACTAAGGAAATAGTCTCATTGAAATCACCGTTAGAAACCTGAAAGAAATGAACAGCCATTTCGTCTAAACAGTGCGCACTCACGACCCCACAAGTGGAAATTGGACTTAAGACCTTGGTTCTCGCACACGAATGCTTAGCCACTAGACAGTTGAGCCGGCATCAAACTGTGTTAGGTGTGAAACAGTCGCACAATATCATGAATCGACTGAAGCTAAATATATTAACACCGTTAGTTACTGGTACCAGTGGTCTAAAGGTTAAGCGCTTGCTCACGAGATCAAAGGTCCTGGGTTCGAATTTCGGTTGTGGGGTCGTGGATACACACTGTTGATGAATCCCATGTTTGGACGAAACGGCTGTCCATATCTTTCATGTTCCAATGGTGGTCTAACATTTATCGATCCCCATAACCCTATAATAATAAAGAAACAACGATCCTTCAAATCACAGTGATTTGACTAAAATGATAATATTGAATGGGATAAACAGTTTTATTTTATTATATCTATTGTATCTTTTATATTCTTATCATAATTCTTATGATTCGAGGTTATATTTATTATAGCTACTTTGATTTTTATTCTTATAAGGTTACAAATTTATCTGGAATTGAATGGGTTAGAAGGCATCTAGAACCTCGTGGAATAAAAGTTCATCGACTTTCGTTTGTTGATCCAAGACCAATGCATATTGATGCAACCTTTAATTTGGTTAAACCTGGTATAGCTATTCAAAATCCTGATCGTCCATGTCATCAAGCTGATATAATCAGAAAAGCTGGTTGGCAAGTTATCAATGCCCCACCACCATTAATGAAAAAAGGTGAGTATTAATACATTTTGGATATATCAGATATTGTATAAATTGTAAATTGTTGGCATTGGATACGTATGACGATTGATCATTGATGAGTGTATGAGTATAACGATGTCTTAATCGTTCGTAGACTTGATTTTCAACCGGAAAGTTGGATGTTAAGCTACTGATGCAATTCTGTTAGGATATTAATCAAATATCCTACGAAGAATCATTTTGTAAAAGTAAATTCTACTGGTCGATTTCTATTGGTCAATTTTACTGTCGTCCTAGTTATTAATGTCACGTACTTCACTGTCGTTTCTTATTGGTCGTCCTGACTATCAATGTTTTTTCCTATTGGTCGCCTTAACTGTTTATGTCACAGACTTCTGCGCTGTTTCCTATTCGACCTAAATGTAGAAATATGCATTATCTGTAACTTTTTATTATCCGGGCCCGGACCCAGATCCTCAGTCCGGGATCCGTGTCTTCTTCTGGACTCGGACCTCGTACTTTCTGGATGGTTGTAGAATATAGGCTTAACTTCATATCAAGTCTTCTTCTTTCACTAAATGGGGGTGGGGACACTGGGATTAGAGTAGTATGTCATGTCGCTCTCGTTTTCCAACTAAGGTAAACTCGTAATAGTTCAAGCATATCAAATTGACATGTTTACGTACATTCATAACAAATTCAGTACTAAAACTAGCTGTAAAATATAGATGTTTTTGATGATTGAATAAAGGAACTTCTAACAATATAGTGAATTACTTTAACTTCTATTATCGTTACATTTCAATTTCATAATTTAATATTTTCATATATCAAACTTTCAATATTGTGATTGAATAACAGAGATTCACTATCATTTTTAGGATGTTTCAAAACACTTAATCCTCCTATTGACTCAATTGTAGCTAATCTGAGAGTAAATAAAAATCTTAGACTCAAAAATTCAATATCTCCTTATTAGTAGGCTAAATAAATAAACAATTATTGTTCGTATACATATTCTAGGTGTCATTGAAAATGAGATCCCCACATAGTGCACTATAACAAAAGCTGACGAAGAAATTAAATAGCAGAATCAATAGCTAAACAAATTAAAGCAGCTATAGAAAGGATTTGTAGCAAGACAAGATAATCTAAACTTTCAAAAGATAAAAGTTGATAATCATGACTAACTGACAAATTGTTGAAATATTCAATACTTTTTCTAGTGTTAATAATTGATTGATTTCCTATTAAAAATGTCCACCTTTCCTATATGAATGCTTTGTGTGAACGTCAACTAGTTTTCTGTCAACCAACTGACTACATATGATACCCACCAAATAGCTATTACACTTTAGACGATTTATAAGTTGTCTCAAAATCAAAATATAAACACCTCCAAAATCCATTCTTAGTAGGTGTACAAGAAGAATACAACAATAGTCTTCTAATGTTCAGCTTCAGTCTTTAGTTTTCTCTGACAGTACAGTTTGTTCATGATTCTTCTACAACCAATAAGAAAAAGTCTTAAAATATTGAGCATAACCGGTTAAAATTTAAAAACAAAGAAAATTTTTAATTTTTAGTAATTTCTTATCTTTTATTTTCTAAAATACAGATCATGAAATGTGGCTTGGTTCAAACTGGTTATCAATGAATGTTTTAATGTTAGATCCGAATAGAGCAATTGTAGAAACTGAAGAGACAAATATGCAAGAAATGTACAAAAGTATGGGGATTAAACCAATCAATGTAAAATTTAAATTTGCAAATTCGATTGGAGGAGGATTTCATTGTTGGACTTGTGATATAAGACGACAAGGTAAACTTGAATCTTATTTCGACTGGTCCAAAGGTGAAATACCAAAAATTTGAAAAAAAAAATATTCGTTTGCAACCTAGTGATGCGAATTGTAGGGAAATTTTTGATTTTCTTTTTGTAATATGGTTATTACTACTGATAAGAATATAATATATATTTGATTTGTAGAATAATAAAAATAATCAAACATTATAATTACAGATAGATGTTCTATAGTTTATTCGATGACTACTGGTTACAGATTTGGTGGGCACTTTATTACTCTTGTGTGACTCCAGTATGACTGAACGATGATGATACTAGTATATCTTCGTATATCTTCAGTCAGCTAGTCATGTTAATACAACCTAAGAATAGAAAGTCCAATATGAGTTGGATTTAGGACATGTGTATCTCAAGTGTTTATGTGAGCAGGCAAACGGATTATTGACTGAAGATGGAAAATGAATAGATGCTGTTTGGGAGTTAGCTTTACACCAAGCATTTGGTGTAATTTCATTCTCTGAGATGGATGGTTAGATGAACGACTACTATCAAAGTTTACATATATACGGAGATAAAGATGCACACATATGATATAGTTAACAAAGTTATAAATTAGCCTGAAAAGGTCATATAAGGTCACGCAATATTTTGTATCAAACTGTTGCATTAATGTATGGTACGATTCAGTTACAGTTGCAGTTTGTACTGCTGAAAGTGGCATTACACAAAAAAAACACTGAATATAAAAATTTCCGAAAAAGTGAATGTTATTACTTACTTACTTACTTACTTCCTTACGCCTGTTACCCCCAACAGAGCATAGGCTGCCCACCAGTTTTCGCCAACCAACTCTGTACTCGGCTTCCCTCTCCAGTTCTGTCCAATGTTTGTTCATTCCTCTCATATCTTTCTCTATTTCTCGGAGTAATGTCCAGTGCTTCTTTAGTTTCAGTTTCATTTTGGCAACCAGCAAATGGTGATCTGATGCTATATCAGTTCCTCTCTTGGTTCTCACATCCTCCATGGTCCTTCTGAACGTTTTGTTGATACAGATATGATCAATCTGGTTTTGAGTAGTGTGGTTCGGTGAAATCCATGTGGCTTTGTGAATGCGTTTGTTCTGGAATATTGTGCCACCGATGACCAGTTTGTTGAAGGCACATAGGTTTGCAAATCGCTCACCGTTTTCGTTCCTTTCTCCCAGTCCATGTCGTCCCATGATGTCTTCATATCCAGTGTTGTCCATGCCAACATTGGCATTCAGGTCTCCCATAAGAATCGTCAAATCCTTTGGTGAGCATCTGTCGAGGAATGACTGCAGCCTTTCGTAGAATCGATCTTTAACGTCGTCATTGTAGTCATTGGTAGGTGCATAACATTGTACGACGTTCATTGTAATTTCCTGTTTCTTTGTTTTGAAGGATGCTTTAATGATCCTCGGTCCATGAGATTGCCATCCTATCAGTGCCTTTTGTGCATGTTTGGACAGCATCAGTGCAACTCCTTGTGTATGTGAAGCGTTTTCCTCTTCATGACCAGAGTATAACAGCAGTTCCCCTGAAGCTAGTCTCAGTTGTCCCACCTGTGTCCAATGCGTTTCACTGATCCCGAGCACCTCGAGGTTGTATCTTTTCATTTCTGCCGCAACTTGAAATAGTCTACCAGTCTCCCACAATGTACGAACGTTCCATGTACCTAAAAAAATGGTTGGTGTGGTTGTGAGAAGAGGCATCGGCCCGTGACTTCCGAGGGAACTCGGCTTTCATCAGGCGACGTCATAATTCTTCTTCCAATTGCCAGGGCAGATTTAAAATGTTCTGGATTGGTTTTTCTGGTTAGCGTATTTTGGAAGTTAGATTTTGACGGAATGGGGTCGCCAACCCCATGTCCAACCCTCTTCCTTTATCCGGGCTTGTGACCGGCAGTAGCCCCTAAGCTTCTACTGGCGGAGTTTCATAAAATGTTATTTTAAGTTATATCTTGTAAACCCTCCCGATCAATATCGTATTCTTAGCTGCCAATCAGAATCTTGGTTCTAGGTTAGTCCGTCGTTTATTCTGTATCTTAGCGTTTTTGACTTCGCCAATTACAGTCTCAACCATCAGCAATAAACCCGGTAGCTAGGTTCATACTGGTTCACTATTCAGTAGTTCCTTTCTATAATCAACGTTTGAGTCAAGAAGTAGTAACCGGCCTCAACTATATATGATATTTAAAATAGATTCTGTCTATATACAGAATGCACCACGCCATAAAATGATAAATAATAAATATACATAAACAAGCCAAGAGTGACTGTGAATAGGGGAGATTGTCGGCAATCAACTGGCTGGAAATCAACAGTAAATAGTAAAACAGCATATGACCAATAGAATATAACTACATAGTACTGTGGTTCAAAATAGTTCAAAAAACTAGTCCAAATTTTTGCTACATCCGTCCCGCCAACAAACGTATGTATGTGTAAGATCTAGCAATGATGGCAGAAAACGCCGCTATAGAAGAACAGCAAAACAAGTGTGTAGAGCACTTCGAAGAACTCCTGAATCAACCGACCCGATTGAACCCACCGAAAATCTAGGCGGCACTCTCAGACCACCTAATTAATGTTGACCAAACAGCCATTGAAGGAACCAGCATGGTCATCAGACAAATGATAGACCAGAAAATATAACAGCTCAGGCATTGAAATCAGATGTAACAGTAATTGCAAGGATGTTTAGCGCTCTCTTCTGCAAGATTTGGGAGTAGGGACAAGTAACAACAGACTGGTACGGAGGATACCTCATTAAGATATAAGAGGAAGGACGTCATAGTAAGTATTAGAAATGCAAAGGGATTTTTTACTATCAGTACCAGGAAAGGTCATCAACAAAGTTTTATTCAACAGAAGGAGAGATTCTATAGACTCCCAACTTCGAGATCTGCGAGCTGGATTCCGTGAGGATCGATCATGTACTGACAGCGTGGCATACCTCAGGAGAGACAGTCAAGACAATGGCGAACTCCTACAGTTGGCTACACTGCAAAATCATACATGCTGACAGATTCGTTCCAAGTGAAGACCGGTGAAGAGCAAAGTTTCTTACTCTCACTCTTTCTTTTTCTTCTGGTGGTTGGCTGGTTTAAGAAGACCTCAGTATCTCGACGGAATCAAGCGAAAGATCGGACAGATAAGATGCCGCTGGGCGATTTTGGCTTCACAGATGACACAGCTCTTTTATTAAACATACAGCAACAAATACTGAAGAAGACGTTTAGTATAGTAACAGCCTCTGAAGCAGTAGACCTCAACATACACAGAGGAAAGAGCAGAGCCATTCGTTACAACACTACATGTACCACCCTAATGAAAATTGACGGAGGAGCTTTGAAAGATATACAAACTTTTACCTACCTGTCCAGCATCATTGACAAACAAAGTGGATCTCATGTATTCGTTAATACATGGATTAGTAAAGCAAGGGAAGCGCTTTTACAGGATTTTAAGTACGAACATCGAAGCAGTTCTATTGCATGGAGCGGAAACTTGGTGAATCATGAAGGCCATCATCCTGGAGATCCAAGCGTTCATTAACAGTTGTATACCCATGATAATGAGGATTAGTAGGCCAGACATCATCAGCAACAACCAACTGTGGGAGAGAAAAAACCAGATTCTGGCTGAGGAAGAAGTCAAAATGAGGCTCTGGAGGAGGATAAGACACACGCTGAAGAAGGCACGCAGCGGCATAACAAGGCAAGAACTAACTTGGAATCCTCTAGGCCAAATGGATGGAGATAGACCAAATAACACAAAACGCCGACAATCGGAGAGAGACATGAAACAAAAAAGCATTGCCTAACCAATTGTCTTTAAGTATGCGATATCAAGGGACCTAAAACAGAAATTTGTATGAGATAATGTATACACTCCATTAGGAAACTAAACTGAAGGACCTTGTAGAGTGCTAAATGTAGAAGAGGTATACAAAAAATTCTCTATTAACCATGGGCATATGTTCAGAACTCATGAATGTAAGGTTGATCTGGAAGTGATTTGTTATGAAGTAGAACTTATGAGAGGTGGTGTTGTCCATACTTTGAGAGATTCAGGTAAGTACCCTCAGGTATCATATGAAAACTATAATGAAATTCGCGTCAATCGAAACAGACGGTCGAGCGATCCTTAAGCTGATTTTGAGAACGAATATGTGTGTATAAGACAATAAACCAATCTTAAAAATAGTAAGTGTAGTAAGTTTAAGCCATAATGCTTGACTCGTCTCTACTGAAAAAATGTGTAACTGAAAGTGCTCAAACATACATCAGCATCAAAATACTTTTTTGTACGTTATACTACACATCTCTTACAACTCCACTATTCACATACAAGTTGTCTACACTAAAGGAGTAGCAGGCCGATATCGCAACCGTTAGCTAATGTAGCTGCTAAGCTTGCGCCAATTAAGACATTGTATCATGTCAGTGGGCGGAAATATAATCGGAAACACAGAAACAGGAAATCTAAGAGATTCTCTGCGGTCTAACCCATTTAACTGGAGCAAGAAGTCAAAAGTAAGCAGGAAGGTTGCATAACCCACGAGCAGCTCCAAGAGAACAAACTGATAAGCGTTCAGTTTAAGTATGATATATACAATACATTAATAGTCCTTAGAGAAACTACAAAACAGCGCACTGAAAGAGAAAACTGGCTAATTCAATTTTAAATCCTTTCTAGTGGAAAAAAAACTGAAGGCCATAAGAGACTCTTTTCACGTGAAAAGAAGAAGCTTTAATTTCCAAAACTAAATTAAGAATCTCAGAGGTTTGCCATGTAGGGATCGAGCATACCCAGCAATCATGTAGCTACCTAGCCTGTAAGGCCTTAGGTCGAAGTCATATCACCATTTACGGTAACTGATTTATCGAGTCCTATCGCGTTGAACATATATAGGTTGGAAGTGGAAGAATTTATTCCACTGATAGACCATGAAGACATGTGGAGTAACCACGCCTGAATGTCCGGGTTTTGCGGTTGCTCCGGATTCGTCGAGTCAGGATGTATATTGCGTACTCAAAGAGCATGTGGGATGGAGGGGAGATTCAGTAAGTAAGATGACTGACCTCCATGC